GCCACAGCAGCTGGGTTTGTTTACATTGTTTTTTTGAATCCTGTTCTCTGTCATTTCAAATGCCCCATTTAACATGTCGTGAATCTCTAAAGGATTCTCTGATCTCTCTACTACATTTATCTTTTTTTTTTTTTTTTTTTTTTTTTTTTTTTTTTTGGGGGGGTTTTTTTTTCTTGGGGGGTCTTACACTGGAGAGAGAGACAGAGAAACAGAAAATGAGAAATCACCCCCCCAGTGGGGATGGCCATCCTATAGTCCCTTCTCCACCGTTCTCCTCTCGGGATTTTGGGCATACATGCACATGCACCTAATGTGAATTTCAAGCCGCCAGGTCCGGGATTCAAACCGTAGTTGGTCTTGTGTGAGTCCAGTGCCTTAACCACTATAACACTTGCAGGCTCTTATCTAATTTATTCTTAAGGCAGCACTTTTTTTTAAATTCCATTTTACTATCATTATTCTTATTTTTTAAAAACATTTGATCACTATACTTGTCTTGTAAAGAGAATTTACCCAACATGAAACACACCCTAGACCAGTCCAGTTGAGAATACGGTACATGTTATCATCAACAGGTAATAAACCATTTCTGTGTCCTATAGATGTCTTGCCTCTCTATTTTTCTCCTAAAAATTTGTACTTAATATCCTTTTTCCATTCCAAGATCCCATCTAGTATAACACATTATATTTAATCTTCATGTCTACTAATCTTCTCGCTTTTATGTCCTCCGATCTTTCAGTCTCTTCTATAGAGTGCAGTTTAGTTGGTATATAGTAAGTGGAGAAATACAATGTCTCTCTTTCATAGCCTGGCTTGCTTCACTCAGAAATAAATTTTCCGTATTCGAGCATTTTCTATCAAATGCCAGGGTCTTGTTGTTTTCTATGGCTGAATAGTGTTCTATAGTGTATATATGCCACACTTTTTCAATCCATTCATCTGTTCATGGACACTTGGGTTGATTCCATGTTTTAGCAATTGTGAATAATGCTGCAATAAACATGGATGTTCAAGCTCTTTTCCGACTGAGCATTCTCCTGTCCTTTGGGTAGATACCCAGGAGTAGAATCGCTGGATCACATGGTAGTTCTATTTATAGGTCTTCTAGAAACCTCCATATTGTTTTTCGCAGCAGCTGTACCAATTTACATTCCCAACAACAGTATAAGAGAGTTCCCCTTTTACCAAAACCCTGCCAACACTTACTGTTTTTTGTATTTTTAATCTTTGTCATTTTGACAGGGGTTAGGTGGTATCTCATTGAAGGCACACATTTTTAAAACAACTTTATTATGCTGGTAAAAGACTACCTGAATGATGAAGTGGGGAGATTAATGTCTCTGTATTGACTCACATGCATGGCATTCCCTTTTGAAAAAGCAATGTAATACACTGTAAAGTTATATGCAATCCAATGTAATATAAACAAGATTATGATGATAATAAAAATAAATAAATAAATAAAAACTAACATCAAAAAAGCAACTATATTATGCTGTAATTTACATGCAATTAAAATTTATAATTTTTAATTGTGTAGTCCAGTGAATTTTGGTAAATGTATTTTCCACAATGGATATATTGGAATATTTCCATCTTTCCAAAGAGTTTCCTCCTCATTCCCCCATGCGGTCAGTCTCTGATTTCAGTTCCCAGTCTAAGACAGTCACTGATACCTCTTTTAGAATTTTATGTCAATGGAATAATAGTGTGTGCTCCAGCTGCTGCTACTGCTGCCATATATATATATAAGTTTATTTCTTTCATGAGATAAAGAGACAAGCAGAGAGAGAGAGCGAGAAGGCCCTCCCCACACTGCAGTCCTCCCCAGCTGCTGCTAGCCTGGGTCACAGGCACCCTGCATATGCCTGGTGTGTACAGGGAGGACTTGAGATTCAGGCAGGCCCTCCATGTGAGTGCAGTTGGGTAATTGCTCCCCCATGCATCTGTGCATGATTAGTTACTTTCTTATTGCCAACTAGTATTCCTTGTGGACTTATATTTTCTTAGGTATTCACCTGCTGCTAGACTTTCGAATTATTTTCAGTTAGGAGCCATTATGAATAAAGTTACTACGAGCATTCTCATAGAAGTCTTTGTACAGGTATATGTTTTTATTTTTTGTGGGTAAATACCTATAAGTAAAATTACTTGTTCTTGTACTGTTTTGGTTTTGGTTTTGGTTTTTACTTCAAGGAACTTACGAACTTTTTGGAGAGGTTTTTTTTCTTTTTTTTTTTTCGCTATAGGGCGCGTGCACTCGCCAGAAAGACAGAGAGAGACAGAGAGACAGAAAGCGAGAAATCACCCCCCAGGGGAGATGGTCACGCCGCAATCCCTTCTCCTCCATTCTCCTCTCGGGATCTTGGGCACACATGCACACGCACCTGGCGTGAGTTTTAAGCCACCGGGTCCCAGACGCAAACCGTGGTCGACTACGTGGGAGTCCAGCAACATAGCCATTACGCTAGCTGCTGGTTCCCGGAACTTGCAAACTTTTTCTAAATGACCAGACTAGTGAACATTCCTGCCACCATCGTGAGTTCATTTGTGCCACACATTGGCCAGTATTATTAGAAAAAGGTCTTTTTAGGGGCCAACAGGTGGCATGGTGGTTAAGGTGCTGGATTCCCACATGACCAACCACAGCTTGAGTCCTAAATTTGGCCGCTTGAAAATTACGCAGGGTGCATGTGCATGCATTCCCAAAACCCTGAAAGTAGAATGGAGAAGGGATTGCAGCATAGCTGTCCTTCCTGGGGTGGAGGGTGGGGGTAACATGTCACTTTCCCTCTCTCTGTCTCTCTTTGGTGAGTGCATATGCCTTATGGCAAAAAAAAAAAAAAAAAAAAACTTAAGGGAATACGGACTTGTCTCTGTGCTTTTAATTTGCATTTGCCTGGTGAATGATGATGCTGAGCATCTTCTCATGTGTGTAATGATGTGTGTGACGTGTGTGTACCTCTTTTTGTGAGGTTACAGTTAAAATACTTTGCTCAATATACTGATGTGTGTGGCGTGTGTGTGAGGTTACAGTTAAAATACTTTGCTCAATTTTTGACTGAGTTGTAATCCTATTGAGTTGTAAGATTTCTTTATACAAACACTCCTCAACTTGAGATGAGTTATGTTTCCATAAACCCATTCTAAGTTTAAAAATATCTAAAGCTGAAATGCCTTTATTATATTGGGTCATGAGGAAAGTTATGGCTTCATGATTTTGCGTAGAAAAATGTAGAAAAACTTGGGACCAGCAGATGGCCTAGCAGTTATGTTGCTGGCCTCTCACATGGCCGACCACAGTTCAAGTCCTGGACCCAGTGGCTTTAAAATCACGCTTGCCCTGTGTGTGTGTGTGTGTGCTTCAGAAGCTCGCTGGACGTGTGTGTGTGTGTGTGTGTGTGTGTGTGTGTGTGTGTGCACTCCCAAGATCCTGGGAGGTGAATGGAGAAGGAATTGTGGTGTGGCCATCTCCCCTTGAGGGTGATTTCTCACTTTCCCTCTCACTGTGCCCCCCCACTCCCCTCGAGCTCATGCCTATAAGGCAAAAACCTCTTAAAAAAAAATAGAAAAATATGTCATGACTTTCTTGACAGCCGAATACCCAACTTACTAAACATAGCCTGCCCGTCTCACCCTTCTTGGGGTAGTTTAACTTAATGCTAAACATAATCTGTCTGGTGTCTCTACTGAATTCCCTTAAGTTTCAAGAAGTTCCTTCTATTCTGGCTACGGGGAGTTCCAGCATCTCCCAGACCTGCCGGGCTGTGGGAGTTGTCCACTAATTGCTCCCTCGTTGTTCTTTGCCCAGAAACACAGTTCTGTGCTTCTCTTCACAGCCTGGTTATTTAGCCAAAGTCTCAAGGACTTACTGTAGATTTCTAAAAGGGTTTTAATACAGATACTATCTGCAGTTCATTGTATCTTTCCCCCAACATTGTGTCTGCATTTTTATTTCTGTTTCTTGTCATACCGCATTAGGTAGAACATTCAAGGATAACATTAAATAGTACAATGGTAGTGTTATCTTTGCCATATTCTCATTTTGGTCTAAATGCTGGTATTTTTGCTTTTTATCATGTTTGTCCTCAGATTTTAACTAACACTCTTTTGATAAAGAAGTTATTTTTTTATTTCCACATTAATGGATTTTCCTATATTAAGAGACTTTTTTATGACTCAAAAGTTCACTAAAAGCTTTTTTGTCATCATATAGTGTTTTGAGCATGTGCATTCCTAGTAGTTCAGTTTACATCCTTAGGAAACTCTTATATATAGTAGGCACCAAGAAATACAGGAAAAAATAGTCATAGCACCACCATTTATAATGGAAAAAACAAACCTGGAAACAATTCAAGAGAATGAACTAATGTTGCCCAAATGGGATTTAATACAGCACAAGAGTGGGCATACAACACAGTGACTGTTTTCCTCAATGGAGATTAATCCCACAAATAGTGAGTGAAATGATATGGGAGGGTTTTGAGTTTTAAAGCATATAAAAACTAAGCAAATCTAGAAGGAGACTCCAAAGAGGTCATGGAAAATGGAATTGAAGTATGAGTTTATTTTAGTACAAAAAACTTTGAAATGTGTGCATAGTTTCTGTAATATCCATTTTTCTTGGGCTTTTTGAAGCCCTTTCATACTGGGATACAGATTTATGAACTGACACTGAAGTAATGGTAGCAACAATACCAGGACCGTGACTATCGCTGGAGGCTGGAAAAGAGAGATGTGGAGGGACGGGTCAGTTCTAAGCCGTTTTTACTACTTTAGAATCTCAAGTATATGTTGCCCTTTCCTAGATATGAGCTTCTTTATAACAGCAACTAAATTTGGTGACTTACACCAAGACACACTGTTTATACATGAAAAGCAACAACAAGCCAGTCAGCACTGCAGAAACATTATTTACTCAGACCCTGTTTCTTAAATTCTTAAACACGTGTTTTTCCTTTCTTTTATAGGGGAAGCCTTGAAAGGGAAGATCACAGTTCACAAGAATAAGAAGGATCCACGTTCTCTTACTGTGACACTCACGTTGAGAAACTCAACTCAGGTGTATGGCCTCCAGTGAAAGTCAGACAAGCACAGCTAACTTGCAGCTTTTAATGTGAGGGGTAGGGTGAGCAGGGCGGGAGGGGAGAGCTGGGTTTATGTGAGCACATGGACAATGGGTCCTTCCCTAATGAGCCTCCCCAGTGATGCCGAAGCGTGGTGGGGATGTGAGGCAGTTCCACTAGGAAGGGACCAATGAACTGACCCTCATGGTCCACCTACCAACAAAGCCCGCTCGGCCGGATTTCGTCACGTGTAATGTCCACATTATGTGTAGCTATGTTGAACATCATTTAAATCGGCCTATATTTGGAACACGGATAGTCTTCGTTGTTTTTTAATAAGTTTCTTACTATAAATTTTAAATAGTAGTGATTGATTAGGTCATTTGGATAATGTTTTATTAAACTAACAACCCAAGGTAGTACGTACACATTTTGCAGATTTCTTCTTTGAGGAATAGTCTTTAATAGTATTATTTGCTAGACTCTCAGGACATAATAGAGAACAAGTACAGGGAAAGACAGCATCGACCTCGGGCGGACCACGTCTGAGGGCAGCGTAGTCCACGGTTGGTCAGCATGCCTGCAGTTCTTCTTTTGTACTTCCCTCTCTTTAGGAAGATTGTTTAGCCATATATCTATATATATTTGTAGTGTTGCCCAAAAATCTAATTTCAATACATTTATCCTAGGTTTCATAAACATTTTTAGAGTTTGGGTTAAATATGTACTTATTTAATAATAAATGTGTACCTATTACCTTTTTCAATCCAGATTTATGTGCAAAGGTTAAACATGTAACTATCAATATATTACACTGTAAAATTGTGTCTTCTACAGTTACTGATGCAATTTGAAATAGAATGAAAAACATTCAATAAAATGTATAAAACAGCTGTTAGCATTATAAACTACTTCAGCATATTAGAGCCCTTTGTGAAACCAGAAGTATTTGCAACAAGTCTTTGTTTTTCCTTTACATTCTTATAGTTTATTTTCTTAAATGCAGTTATAAAGTTCAGAGCAGATTTTCAGCAGTTAAAAATAACATATACAAGTTCCAGATATTTATTAATCATTGTAAACCAACACGATTCTTCAGTGTGATTTTGTACATTTAGAAGAGAACGATGTCCTGGGTAAGTGGAAATCGTGCAGGTGTCTTCTCGAAGGCCTTCATTCTAGTGGAACATTTTATTTACCAGTGTGGACCTTCTTTCATCTTGCTATAACCCACATTCACGGAGTAGGATGTGCATTCAGCATTGGGACCCAGTTTGTCCCAGAGTTCTGGGCTGTTCTTTCTGTCCAAGCGGACATCCGGATTGAACAGTGGGATCCAGCTGCCTCTACTACCAGGCCAAGGGCTGGCCTCATTTAGTGGATTTTGCAAGTAACTACAAACTTTCCAATTTTTAAATTTGATTTCCTTTTTATAAGTGAATAACAAATATATCCTACTATTTAAAAAAATATTTCTCAAAATTTTGCATAGAAAAATAATGTGTCGTGACTTTTCCAAAACTTTTGATTAGTTTTCATGGAATTTTTTACCCAGTGACTTATTTTCTTCTGATTATAACTGGCCCAGTCATCATGCATCTGTCTTCTTTTTAGTTAGCCACCTTGGGCGAGGATGCTCTGACCTGTGTGCCTAGAGGTGTTTTATCAGGATGGGAGCATCCAGACGTTTAGCTCTTCAGCTGGAATGTTTGCTGTCAAAGACAAGTGCCTGCTAGCCCTTGGCAGTGGTAAATATGGTGCCCCTTACCGCTGCAGTCAGTGGGCATTTAGAGAGAGCAGTTTTTTTGTCCCAGGGATTTTATTTTATTTCCGTTAAGGTAGGACAGTGTTTTCCCCATTTTCCTTTATGAAAACTAACATTATGGTGTCATGATGTGTGGTGTTCATCCAAGTGTGGTATTCACGCGTATATAGTGGAATACCGTGTCCTGAACCCTGACAGGACGGAGAACTGGAGGGAAAAGGAGTGCAGCGCGACCACGCCCTGTTGGCAGGTGCTGTCTCTCTCCCTCTCTCTCCCCCTCATGCATACGTGCATGAGAGCACATGCCCTTTGGCAGTTAAAAAACATTAGACAAAAAAGCAGGATAACTTGAGGTTGCACTAATTACGAGAGGAAACATACATATGCTGAAAGATTGAAGGAAAAATTAAGTTACAGCAGTGATTGAGTGACTATTTTATCTATCAACTACACCTTCTATAACGCTTTGCAACTTTAACACATTTTAAATATGTATAATTTTTCTCCCCAGACAGCTCGTGCACTCACTGAAAAGAGAGAGAGAGGGACAGTGTGAAAGCACTACCCAGGAGGCATGGTCACACCACAGTCCCTTCTCCCCAATTTCTCCCTCTTTTTCGGATTTTAGATATGCATATACATGCACCAAATATGTTTTCCAAGCTGCAGGTCCAGGACTCAAAACAGCAAGGCTAGCACCATGGAATCCAACAGCATTAACCATCATGCATGGACTGGCCCCCAAAAACATATTCTTTTTATTTTTTATTTATTTATTTATTTATTTTTGAGAGTTTTTTGCTATAGGGCATGTGTGCTCACCAGACAGACAGAGAGAGACAGAGAGACAGAAAGCACCCCCCAGGGGGGGTGGCCACGACACAATCCCTTCTCCTCTGTTCTCTTCTCGGGATCTTGGGCACGCACGCATACGCGCCTGGTGTGAGTTTTAAGCCATGGGGTTTGGGACGTGAACCACGGTCGACTACGTGGGAGTCCAGCGACATAGCCATTACGCTAACTGCTGGTCCCAAAAACATTTTCTTAATAAACAAAACCTGGCAGCTAAAATAGTCTGGAAAGTGTCAGTACTACTAGCGCACCTGCTGGGCCGCCCTGCATGTTCGGGCAGGACCTACCCTCGCTCTCAGCCAGCTCTCCCACCCTGAAACTACCGCTTTGCCACCATCGGTTCTGTGATTTCATAATGTCCTGTACTGCTTGTTCTTTTTCTTTTTTCTTTTCTTTTCTTTTCTGTTTTTTTGGAGAGGTTTTCGCTATAGGGCGCATGTGCTCGCCAGACAGACAGAGAGAGACAGAGAGACAGAAAGCGAGAAATCACCCCCCAGGGGAGATGGTCACACCACAATCCCTTCTCCTCCATTCTCCTCTCAGGATCTTGGGCATGCACACACACGCGCCCAGCGTGAGTTTTAAGCCACCGGGTCCCAGACACAAACCGCAGTCGACTACGTGGGAGTCCAGAGACATAGCCATTACGCTAACTGCTGGTTCCCCTGTACTGCTTGTTGTTCATGCCAGTCACCCCAGGAAGCCCCCAAGTCCAACAGTTCATTTTGCACCCCCGCCATCTCTGGTCTCCACTGAGTTTTGTATATCCCCCTATTTCAGAGATCCTGGCATCTCTGGCTCTCTCCTAAGGTCATCGCTTGCCCCGGTAAATGAAGACTGTCCTGTCCCACACCACACAGACCCCTGGTTTGCATATAAGGTAGGCACTTCATTGCTTTTCCTAATCCTTAGTCTCCCCTCCCTTCCTTTCCCACTTTATGTCTTTATTCACTTGTCATCAAGATAGTAACACCAACACCTTCCATTGCCACTGTCATCTCCCCACCCCTAGTCACTCGTCCTCATACTCACTACCCACACTGCTCCCGCCTAATCGGTGAGTCAGAATCCCTTGCGGACGATCCTTTGTACCTTGACCTCGTCCAGTGATCTTGTTCTCCACCTTGCCCCAACACACATGCTATGGTTGTCCTTTAGAACTGGCAATAACCCAGACTTTAGCTCCCGTGTGATATCAGTTCTCTTTTGAGAGTGCGTGAGATGGAGAATGAAGGAGAGAGTGGGGGAAGGGGGGGAGCGTCCCCTAGTGGGCTGTGGGCACTCCCTTCTCCTCCATTTCTCCACCCTGTTGGCATTTGGGGCATGCACATGCACCCAGCATGTTTGTCAAGCTGCCAGGGCCAGAATTCAAACTATGGTCAACTCTATGGGATCCAGCTTTGTAGGAACAGCACCCAACTGCTGTGCTGTGGGCCAGCCCCCCAGTCTCACAACACCCAACTGCCGTACTGTGGGCCAGCCCCCCAGTCTGATTTCTACGGCTGTGGGCTTTTTGCCTGTTTTACAACTTCATATTTATGGAATGATATGGTGTGCACTCTTGTTTAATGACTTCTGTCAGGATGCTTCCTGAGGTTCCCCCATGTCCCGGTAACTGTCTATTAATCGGCATCTCCCTATCCTTGTTTGTTTTCATTCTTCCTGCTAACTAGAATATAAGCTACTGGAGGATAGGGAGCTTGGTCTATTGTCATTGTCTTTTTTATTAACTACTGGATTAGACACTAGTGCAGAGTAGGCACTCCGTAAAGACGTGTTGAATAAATAGATGATGCAGCAGTCGATAGTCTAGCTGTGTGGTTCACTGTGACTAGGGCAGTTTTCTACTTACTTTACTACATATACTTACTTGGTTTTGACTTTCTGAAGGAGGAAACCTCTTGCATTCATTAGTACATGCTACATTGTTGTTGTTGTTTTTTTTTTTAGAGGTATTTTTTTTGCTACAGGTACATTGTTGTTGTTTTTAGAGGTATTTTTTTTGCTACAGGGCGTATGTGCTCGCCAGACAGAGACAGAGAAACAGAAAACGATAAATCACCCCCCAGGGGGGATGGCCATGCCACAATCCCTTCTCCTCCATTCTCCTCTCGGGATCTTGGGCACGCATGCACACACGCCTGGCGTGAGTTTTAAGCTACCAGATCCGGGACGCAAACCACGGTCAACTACGTGGGAGTCCAGCGACATAGCCATTACGCTAACTGCTGGTCCTTACATTGTTGATTTTTTTTCTCGCCTACTGTAATGTTTCAGAATTTCAGAGCCTTAGGCCATCAAATGGTCTGAGCCCAGGAAATAATTCTGGGGTTACATTTATGGGTCATTTTGTCAACATATTCACATTTAGCTTGTTTCAAAATGAATCGACTTGCATATTGATTTTTTTCCCCCTAGAATGTTGGTTATCTGGTGCAGTGCATTTTAGGTTTGGCAAGGGCTAACCCTGCCACCCTGGGAAGTGTGTGAGCACTGCTTGCACGGAGACAGTTACCATACAGCTCCCTGAAAGGGCAGTGTGGGGGCCGGGTGGTGGCACAGCAGTAACACACGATGTTCATGGGACGATTCCCGGGTCAAGTCCAGGG